TAGATCAGCACACATGGTCTAGAATAGACCTGGGCATCAATACTAGGTATGCCTCACTTGCAAGAACATTTTAAGACCTGGGTGTTGGGGGAAGACAGGAGGATGCCATCAGAAAGGAAACTGTAGTAGAAGGGAGGCATAATTCCTTCTCAGAGGCGTGGGGGTGGTGGTAGAGCTACAAGCAGATAGAGCTTCTTGCTGTATTCTGATGCGTCTCATGGGGGGGATGTAGGACCAGCTTGGGGGTTGGAAGAGGAGTTGTGGAGGGGGGTTGTGGAGGGGGATTGGGGGTTGGGGATGGGAGCTGTGAAGAGGGCTTAGGAAGGGGGTTTTGGAGGAGAACTGGGGGAGATATTGGGGAGAGGAGCTGGGGAAGCACTTATCTGAAGTCTTGAAAAGCTCATCCAGTAAAGAAAGCCGGGCACACGAAGGAAGCTTCGCTTTTAGTTCCAAGCTCCCTTCAGCGGGGGCAAAGCAGAAAAGAATGGGTGCTACTTAGTTTCTGCTTGTTGAGAGAAGGGACATATTTTTTTCCCCCAGGAACTAAAAATGAAACTCTAGAGCAGGTTTCTCAGATTTATTTTTACTGTCTAAAAACCCCCTCAACGTCCTAGCCAATGCCGAGTTCTGGACCGTCACCACGGAGACTTGGGTACTTCTAGGGTGTAGCCCAGGGCTGAACTCTGCTAAGTTACCCATAATAGCTCTAATGTAGGTGTCCACCCTAGAAAGGCCCACTGTTAAGAAATACCATCACAAAAGCAAATTTATTCACTTACTCATTTGCCCTCAGGTGCTGCGGTCAGTCTGGAGAAGATAGAAAGTCCCTGTCCTCGGGAAGACTAGCAAATCACAGAGGGACGTCAACTTTTGAGGCCAGCCCGCCGATATCCCGCCTTATCCCCGATGCTGCCCAAGGGTCCACTGGACTCCAGCTCTGGTAGCCAGGCTGTCATCTCTGCCTTGGAAGGAGGCAAGGGCTGGGATCTGCGTCTGGTCAAAGGAGCAGCTCCACAGATGCCAGACCCCAAGCTTCCTTTCTTCTCAGTGTTGGGCGGCCGTGAGCAGCAGCAGCAAGCAGGTGTGGCAACACTGAGTGGCGCCCTCCATTGTTCCTTTGTGGTCTTGGGTATTGGAACCCTTGGCCCTTGGTGACAGCAGAGTTACCGTACACTCAGTCCTGGGCCTGCGATCCTTCTGATTCTGAAGATATGACATCTCCCTGGAATCGTCTGAGAGACCAGGGCCTGCGCATTCTCTTCTCTGGCCCCTGAGAGCCCCTTCACCTTTTATAAGCGGTCTTCTCTCTCCTGTCAGCTCCCCACTTCTAACCGAGTGAGAACAGTCACGCACCACGCAGCACAGTGTGCTGGATTCCCATGTGGTGTCTTCAAGACCTTTAGCTGTCCAATGGGAACAAGCTGTGCGCATGCACACACAAACGGTCCATCGTGCCTACAGAACCAAGCCAGAGTCACTGCAACTTTGGCGGATGCTTGTTTAGCTGTAAAGCTGCATTGCCTGTTGAAAGCAGGGACGGCAAGACCCCTCCAGGCCCCAATGTTGCAGCGCTGGGGGGCAGCCTAGGAAAGCCCTTGGCTGCAGACTCCCCGACTGAGCCTAAACAGCCTGCTGTTGGGGTCACAGACGATGAGAGGGAGAAGGAACGCTCACACTCATCACACCCATTTGTTTGACCAGTCACAGATGTTGGCGCAGAACCAATCACAATTGTGGGGGCTTGTGTTTCGGATCAGACATGGTCTTGTCCCCCCTCCACCAGTCATAATAGTCCCTCTACCAGGGGAAGAGATCCACCTCTGGTCAAGGTGGAAATGGTCCAGGAGGCTTAGTCCTCTGTGGAATGTTCAAGATCACTAGTGCTAACATAAGGATGGGCCAAGCAGGCTATAAAAGCTATAGTCCTTTCGCTCAGGGCAGCTTAGCCAGCAAGAAAGGGTTCGGTACTTGCTAATTAGAGTATCAAATTGTCCTGTTGCGTCTTTGCTTCCTTATAGAAAATGAGCTTTGGAAGCAGTGTTTGTTGGCAGCAAGTAACAGGAGTTCCAACGGTTGTTAAAATAATACCTAATACATGCTTCAATAATACCTAACCCATGCCCAGAGCCCAGGGAGAAGTTATCCCCGGCGTCTGTCTCACAAGGAATCAGCTCCCTAAATGACCAGCAAAGAGCGTGGGACAAGGGCTGGCAGCAGACAGAGACTCCACAGAGCAGCTGGATTTGACAGGAGGAAGCTGGCCATGCAGGGTCAGGTGCTGCCCCTCCTAAGGCAGGGAGTAAGCCAGTCTCATCCCCTACCCGCTCTCCCCTCCACACTGAAGCTTTCTGCACACGCGGGGGTTTATTCTTCTCTCCTTGCTCCGGCCATTACCCCCACCTGCTCTCTCTGGCATGTCTTTGGTTCTGGGGCCTTCCTTGGTTTCCTCCTCTCCTTTCAAGCTGCCTTCAAGAGGGTTTACAGCCTCTGCTGCTGTCAGTAACTTTGTCTGAGGGCCTGCTCCTGATTAGTAAGTACCAAGGAGCTGCCTGCCCCTTCTCTGGAGACAGAAAAATGGTCTGAAAAGCAAAGCTTGTGTTTGTGTGGGTGTGGGTGTTTGGGAGCGTGAGAACACTGTAGACATATGTGAGTGCACATGGATTGATCATAGAAGGCCGAACATGCAGATGGCGATACTAGATCATATGGGCAAAAGCACTCGGACTTTGGACTTGCTACAGCCTGGGAAACCTCCCTGTTGTCTCCAGCAGCCAATTCAGAAGGCAGCCTGCTACAAAGTTGCAGGAAGGTCACCATCTGACAGAGACCCTGGTGTTTATCCCACTGTCTGATCCTGAAGAAGCCAAGGGCTGACTGTTTACCAGTTGCGGAAGACAACAGCCTGAACTTGCTGTAGTGTCTCTGGCCAACAGCCTTCCACAGAGTCTGCCTGCATGCTGCCTTCTATTTGCTGCACCGGGAAGCTTTCCCAGTCCTGGCCTGTCTAAAAGTTTCTGCCAAAGATAGTAGCCAGCTCCCTTGCTAGAACGAGCTTGGAATTAATTGGCTACTGTTTGTTCTTGTTTGTTCCATTCCATGGTGTGTAGGAATGTGTGTGGAGGGGGAGCTTTGATGCATTTATGAGGACGTGGGGGGTGTGCACAAGCATATATACACCTGTGTGTGGTGTGTGCTCCACTATGTTTGTTCATGAGTGTGTGAGATAGTGTTGCATATTTATAACACTACATGAGGGGTTGTGTGTGTCCGCGCGCACACGCGCGTGTGCTTGTGTACATACCTGAGTATGTTGGCAAGAATACAATTTGGGCAGAAGGGGCTGTGGACAGAAAGCTGGCTGGCATTCACAGCGAGAGCTTCATGCATCCCAACTGAGTCCTTGGGCTTCCTCATTCTCTGTAGTCCATGGAGTTAAGTCAGGACACAAACAGAAAGCAATGGCATCAGCAGGGACTCTCTTCTGTAGATTGAACGGCTGGCTGGAAAAGCCACTCTCTGGGGAAGGGAGTCAGCAACCTTAGAACAAAAGCTAGAAGCTGGATCACCTCTGGGACTCCTTGAGCCTCGGGGGGGGGGGGTGAGGCCTCGGGAAATCTTCTAGACACCATGACCCTTTGCTTCTTGCTGTTCCACAGCCATCGACAGGCACCTGCGGGCCTGCCAGTCACAAAGATCAGTGCCTGGGGTGAAGACTGAGGCCCTGGCTTCCCGCTGAGTGTGTATCAGAAGGTAACCCGAGACCTTGGCAGTCGCCAAGTAAAATGAGAACAAACAGGCAAATAGCCCCTACCTGCCACACAGTCCCTGGTGGTTTTAGCTGCAGTGGGTCGATCTCTGGGGTGTTCCCACTTTCCGATCAATAATGGTATTTCTCTCCCTTAGATCCACTGCCTCAGGCTGAGGGTCTTGGAGAGCAGAGGTCAGAAGACGACAATGACATGCTGTGCAGGGTTTCTCTGCAGTCTGGCTCTATGTGGCCCATCATCCTAACAGAGTAACTCTTGCCTACCCAGGAATGACGCATAGCCTGTGTGTGGGACCTAAGCTGTGTGGGGGACTGACCGACAGCCTTGCCTTTGTCCAATGCGAGCATCAGCCTAAGAACCAAAGCTGTGCTTCAGAGGATGGCAATGGCAAAATGCAACTCGGAACACCCGGGTCCAGGGTCTTCTCTTTTGTAGTCATGTGACACAGCTGAAGAAAAACCTACTCCACTGGAACAATTGCCACCCAAACCCTGCGCGGTGGTGGCTTGGAGCCAAGGGCCTACTGACTCTCAGCGAGCCTGCGATGAGTGAGTGATTCCTTCTCTGCTGCTGTAAGACCGCTCACCGGCTCATCTCGAACACATCTATTTTTATTTGCGTTGTTTCTGAAGGGCAAAAGGTGTGGTGTGTCAAGAGGGGCTTTTATAGTCACTTTAAGGCATCGAAATGCCAGCTGTAAGTCCATGAACACACTGGTTGTCGCGTGAATCACCGAGAACTGAGGTAGACTCAAAAAAGCTGTGGACCAGAGAGCAAGTTCATGGCTGTGTCCGTGGCTGAGGAACCCCAGCCCCAATCGCCCAGCAGCTCCCCTGAGACAGGATGGGAAGGAGGGTGACAGGGCCTTAGAGGAATCTGACGCTTGCCTCTTATCACAACAAATTCCGTAATCAGTGGTGTGCCTAGGTGCTAATCCACCTAAGGAAGGGCTCCAAAGCCTTCAAGCCGCCCCAGTATGCAAAAGACCCTCCCTCCTTCTTCTCTGTTTCCATTGGGTAGCTATTCTAGCTTTATCCTAATCCTATGCAATCCTGTTTTTCTGGTTAACAGCTCGGCAGAAAAATGCACTGTCATGTAGAAGAAAGGTCAGGCCATACAGGTCCATGTCCCACCTGCACCTCCCATGTGCAGAATCTTCTTTGCAAGGATATTTCTCCCAGGGAAGCAAGGCTCAGTATTGTCGGTAGGTCCAAATGGAACCTGTGTGACAGATGAATGAGCCTGGCTTGTTTGAGAGCAACGGACTGGCTGTTTTCTGCTGTCCATTCCAACAGCGACTAGGTGTGTGAAGTTGTTTAAATTGAAAATTAAGTTTACTTCATGTCAAAGTGCACTTCGCACGAGGCTCGGTCCGGTACACACTACACGATGTGGCTAATGGCTATTACCAGACAGCGCTGACTTCAGGCATCAGCACTGAGTTCAGGTCAGTGCTATCCAAGGCTCTGGACAGTTCCAGAGATCCTCCAGAGAGATAGGCAGACTTTCCAAGTCAGACCGTCTTTGTGGTCCAGGCTCCCTCCCGATGCTGAGTGACACCTGAGCAACGGACTCGGTTCTCAGGGACAGAAAGGTGGAGGCCCAGACTCCCGAAGGCTAGGGAGGTGCTAACTGAATCAGTGCTGGGCGAGCAGCTACTCTGTTGCAACCCTTGCCAGTCTGACAGGCTCCTGCAGAGTTACATCACTTCCTAAAAATCAGGCAAACACCTCTCCTTCAAGTGAGCACCGACCCAAAGGAGCAGGAAACAGGAAATGTGCGCGTCGGAGGGCGGCCGGGGCTCCGCAGCATCCTGAGCGCAGGCGAGCCAGCTGACATGACCGCGCTGTGCATCGCCCTGGTCTCGGCCCTAGGACTGGCGCTCGGTCACTCCGACCAGGGTAAGCGACCTCCTGCTGGGAAAGAGGATAACGAAGCCTGTGGGTGCCAACAGCTACGGAACTCTTTCGGGCAGGGTCCCACTCAGAAAGCCTAATCCTTTTGGTGAAATTTAAGAGCGAAGAAAATTAAGTTTGTTTGGGAGGGCAAGTCTGGAGGGCGGATCTTGCGTTCATCGCGCCCTCTCGCTTCTTCCAAACCCCTGGCTATCTTTGCCTTTTATGATCCCTGTAATTAATCAGCTTTACAGGGCATATTAAGAAAACCATAAACTTTTTGGCAGTTCGTGGAAAAGAATGTTCCAGTCTGCTAAAAGACAGAAGTAATGATTTCGCTTTAATAGCTGAGAGCTCGGCTGGTTCCAAAAACCTCCTTGTGGGAGGGAGGGGAGCAGCTAGGGTATGGAACTTAACTCTTGGCGAGGATGTGGGGAAAGATGTAAATGGAAAGGAGTTACCAGGAGCCCGGTCGTCCACGCTCTAACATCCAGGTAATTCTTTGATCTGGTTTTCTTTGATCTTGGTTCCATAGGGGATGTTTCCTTCGCACCCGCGCCCATTGTTACTCACGAACATTTTTAGAGGCTGATGTGATGACCAGGAGAGACAGTACAATATCTCAACACTCTAGGCTGAGCAGCCGTTGACTGGCTCTCGTGGCTGTTGCTACAACAAACTCTCTCACTTGCATCTGTTGACTTTCCCTTTGCAAATACACGTGCAGCCCATGGTTTCTGAGGCTGGGTGGAAGAATGCCTGCTTCTAGGGAAGGGCTGTGTCTAAAGCAGAAGGAAAATGTGCTATTGTTATTTAGATAGAAGGGTGACATCAGGCACTGAAGTCACAGAGACCGAAGCTCTCTAGAGGTTAGAGGTTGGTGGGTATGCCTCCCAGCCTCTCGGCCTCCCTTGCAGGACACTCTTTAGGTGCTGTGCCCTAGTGTCTGAAGTAGCACGGGAGGGGTGGGTGTGTTACTTTCAAAGTGAGACCAGAAGTCCATACTTGTTTTGTGCCCTGTGCTTTGGAGCTGGGAGGAAGCTGGAAGGAGCCTTGAGGACTTGCAGAAAAAAAAAATCGCCTTTTATTTGTCTTTGACTTTCCTAAACTCTGTCAGAGCTTAGCAGACACTAGGAACTCAGTAATTGTTAAATTGCTAATTACTGAATTACTAAAGCCATCCCTGGAATACCTATGAGGCTGATCTTTAAGAAGCACAGAGTCCCTGAAAGCAGAAGTCAGAGAGGAAAGTGTTGTTGCACTACTGTGCAGAGAGCATCTTTAAGCGTGCTGCCTGGACCCTGCCTGCATCCCCATCTAAAAGATGCAAAAATACGACTCACAGAGAGCTAGATAATAACAGCAGCATATTAGGACATTAGTCCAGGGAAAGGCTGGTCCGCAAAAAGCTTAGTAATCTGTGCATATCCTTTTGAGCCAGTGCTGCTTAAGAACACGAGTTAGATTAGTTTTAATTTACATATTTAGTTATTAAAAATAAAGTATCTGTGGATGTTTAGCAGAAAAATCCAACCTCCTGGACAGTACCGCTCTCTTTAGTGCAAGCATCTTCTGAGGTCCACCCCCAAACAAAGCGTTTCCAGCAACAAACAAGCAAGGTGACATGGTGCAGTTGCAGGAGGCCGGCCTCATTCCCTGTGGGTCAGCCTGCCTTCCGGTGGACAGGCTGGTTCAGAATTGAGAACCGTCTCAAGTGAAATTATCCCCGGAGAAACAAGCAGGAGGCAAGAAGGAAGATAGGTTTTCTTGGATCTTGACCAAATTGATGACCACAGTTGAAAAGAAGTCTCTACAGCTGAGGCCAGTGTAGGATCTTCCGAAAGCTGGAACTGAGGTCTGTAGAGAGGAGGACCCATCTTTGTGTCTCTGAATATTAATAACGGGACTGGATTTGATGCTTGTCTACAGGAAAAGCAACGTTGAGAGTTGAGTTTACTGTGGGCTGCTGTAAAAGGGGGGGGGGGAAGCAGGAGCTGGAGTAGAGGCAGAGTGAGCAGAGATGCTGGGGACTAGCTTGTGAGTTAAGAGCAAGAAAAAGACCAGGATGCTAGAGCTGACCACTAGCTTTGGGGTGTGGGAACCCGGAGAGAAAGAATGGCCTGCGCACAGCTGAGATCTGACTCCAGGGTCTCAACACCCTTAGAGATATAAAGCTACAGCAAAAGAAAAGAGAGGAAAGAGAGGAGAGGAGAGGGAGAAGACAAAGAAAAGAATAGAGGAAAAAAGATGCATACTGATATTGATGCCTGTGACCCCAGCAGGGTGTGGTGGGAACTCAGAAGGACTAAGGTCAGTGCTTAACTGGGCCATAGCGAGAGACCCAGCCTCAACAATAATAGCAACAAAAACAACAGCAAACCAAATAGGGGATGGGGCTTAAAAATGTCTACAGCCCCAGATTCCAGGAAACTGAGGAGGGCCTTCAGGATGCGTGCGGTTCTGGGAAGATGCGTGCCCTGTACTTGGCTGTTACTGTTTGCACCACCCTCGCTCAAGTACGGCCCACGATGTGGAGAAACAGGAACTTTGCAGGGCCTCTCTGCAGCTTTACCCGCCCACTGAGCTTTTGATTTTAGTGATCATTATTTGCATTTCTAGAAAGTCTGACATATGTATGTTTTCCTTGGTTTTTACTTAAGCTTGGCTGTTTGCACCTTGTGTTCACCTTGTGTCTGCTGCTATCCACTGGATGGTTTTCTTCTACCATTTATATAGACTGAACCTTGCTGCTTGCTGGACACAGCTTCCCGGTCATGAGGAAAGTCTTGAGTGCCCTGAGGGTAGAGTCTGGCGTGCAGGGAATGGCTTGCCTGGCTAACTGAACTCCAGATTCTCTCCACCAACCCCTAACTCCTGGAAAGTGCAGCATCCTCCTCTGTAGTACACACTGGGAATGAAGCCGCCGCTATGTTGAGCTTAGAGGAGGCTATGGCTGGACCTGGGGCTTCACCTCAGCTGTGGGACAGGCAGACAGTGGGACTCAGTCTCTGGGAGCTGCACGAGGAGGGTGTAACACCCCTGGAGAGATGTAAGCCATCAAAACAGAACTAAAAATGGGGCCAGTCAATAACCAGGAGTAATATAGGGACAGGGAGGTGGCCAGAGAGAAAGATAAAGACAACTAAGCCAGATTGAAGGTCTGAAGAGACCTGGCTTCCACAGGGTCAGGGCTGTCCCAACTGACACTGAGTGCTGAATATTGTTATCCACCCTGACGTGACTCTTTAGGTCATGGCCTGGTGGGTATAGCTTTAACTTTTGTTTGTTTTGTTTTGTTTTTGTTTTTCGAAACAGGGTTTCTCTGTAGCTTTGGAGCCTGTCCTGAAACTAGCTTTTGTAGACCAGGCTGGCCTCGAACTCACAGAGATCTGCCTGCCTTGGTTTGGGAATGTCTCTGTTTTATGTGAATTATCCCCATCTTCCTTTTTCCTGCTTCCTCACCTGGTTGTCATTTCTAGAAACCAGATCCCAGTGGTTGCCGAGGTTTGCCAATAGGTTGTTTTTGTGCCTGATTTACTTAAACGTTAGCTTTACCCTTTCTAAAAAATTGTTCGCTTATTTATGATTGACATCGCCAGATTTAGAAAATAAAAACGAGAGAACCAATTACATGGATCTCAGATAGCAGAGCCCAGAGCTTAAAGCGTAGACTAGACTGGGGTTCAAACTTGTGATTTTCCTGCCTCAGCTTTCTGAGTGCTAGGGTTGCAGACATGCACCTCTGTGTCCAAGTAAGGATTTCGTATTCCGTTCTATGTAATGTTAACCTATTAAAGACTTGGCAAGTGTTATAGGCTAGAATGGCATTCCAGGGTATAAAGAGTGGCCAGGTAGCCCAAATTGCAGACTTGCCAAGTGAAAACCTCAAACAAGAGTCAGCCTTAGGTTAAATAAAAGCAAGCTTCCTGAAAAGGAAGAAATAACAAAATACTTGAAATGAAAAAGGCATTGGCTTGGGTCTCCCGCGTGCTCGATCAGACTCCACGCTTGACGGCGGCTTCCGTACTCCCATCCTGGATTGCCTCAGCTGACTGTGTGCTCTGGTTACCTCTTCAAGACAGGTGTCAGGGCAAACACCCTGAGTGATCACCATCATTGAATACAGATGATCAGACCCAGAGAACTGCAGAGTAGCCAATGAAATCAACAACGCCTCTGCACCAGAGGGGAGGAACCGCGTGGCCTTCACGTGTGAGTGTTCACCCCGGGGCACGAGAGCCATGAGCAACCTTTCCTCACATGGGACTTACAGCTTTGCATTAAGGGTTTGTGGCTCCAGCTTTTGTTTTCTCAGTCCAGGTTGCTTTGGAAAGAAAACCACCCTCGGGCTCTGTTTCTGTGATGAGAGGCACACCACATGCTCCCAGGAGGAAAGTTTTAGGATGAGGAGGGTAGCCAACCTGGTAGCCAGGAAACGAGTGACTGACAGTGCCACCCCAGCCCCACCTGCCCTCCGTGGAACCCAGTGCCTCCTGCATGCTTTCCCGTGGAGTCGCAGTCCCAGCCCCATGGGCCTATTTGACATTTCCGTCAGTCATTCCGTCTGTAAGCAGCTGTTTATACCAGACTCCCAGGGGCCAGGAGAGCACTGAACAGCCAAGAGCAGACCATAGAGAAGTTCGTGGTGGGAATAATTCCAGGTGATAATTGTTTTTTGTAAGATAGGGGCTTCTCTGTGTAGTGCTGGCTGTTTTAAAACTCACTCTCTAGCCTGGCCTCGAACTCAGAGATCCTCCTGCCTCTGCCTCCTGAATGCTGGGATTAAAGGTGTGCGCCACCACCACCTGGCATGGATAATAATAACTTGGCACAGCTTTATGGGCAGAGAACTCGGAAAGGGCAGGGCATCAGTGGTCGTGTCCTGCTTGGCACTAGCATCTGTGTGTGTATCACACACCGTCCACCCCTTCACAACCAGGCTGGTACCCAGGACGTCTGGTATGACCATTTGTCCCAGTTTTGTTTCTGGCCACCCTACCATCAGGTTGCACAAATACCGAACAATTAATTTTTTAAAAAGTTACTGCTAGAAAAGCCTCAACAGCTTAATAATGTATATATACATTCACTTCGTTCCTAAGTCTCCTTTCTGCATGTGGTCAATAAGTCTGTCATCAGGAGTAGTGGAAAATTAATATTTCGTCCACTTGTTTATGGTTTAGCTCAGTAGGTCTCAGCCCAGCAAGCGTATTTACCAGAGTAACTAGGAAGATTGTAAGAAACACAGTTGGGCCTAGGGCTGTCGCTCGGCAGCGGATTGTGTGTGCTGCAGAAGACTCCAAAACACACGCCCCGTTATCCTGGCTACATCTCTAGATAGCATCAAATAACCCGTGAAGCAGAGGGACAGTGACAGTTGGGGACAGCTGGTCATTATTGACCACAAAATGGAATTATTCAGGCCACAGCCTTCAGATCAGATTACTGTCTTGGGAGCTAACTGAAGCCCGCTACATGGTAACACAGGGCACACTACATGGTAGAGCGCTACACGGTAACGCTGGGAGCACTTCATGGTAACACTGGGAGCACTATATGGGAACAATGGGAGCATTGCATAGTAACGCTGGGAGCACTTCATGGTAACGCTGGGAGCACTGCATACTAACACTGGGAGCACTTCATGGTAACACTGGTGCACTACATGGTAACACCAGGAGCACTACATTGGAATAGTAGGAGCACTGCCTGGGAACACTGGGAGCACTACGTCCGAACAGTAGGATCACCACATCGGAACACCGTGAGAAGTACCCAGCAATCCATGGTTTATGAACCTTCCTACCTAGTTCCAACCACTCTAGGCTCGAGCCACCATGCCATGCCGTCTGCAGACCTCTTTGGGAGGTGCAGGTTCTAAAGCCAGGCTCACACCTCTCAGACTTAGTCAGCAAGGGGAGTGCTCTGCGCTTGCCTTGTTTCTCCCCTAACGTATCCTGGCCAGCATCTCCAGGGGCTCCGCCTTCAATGAAGACCTTGAGTCGTTGTTCTTTGCTCATAGGTTGGGTACGAGGCTCCCAGGACCCGAGTTTGGATTCTTGTCATTTTACAGAACAAACAGTAGAACAAGAGCAAGTTGAGGTTGCCCAAGAGAGGGTTAGAAGTGAGAGACCTTAGAGGTTGGTCTTAGCCTTGGCTGTGCCCTGGAGTCCCCAGAGCACCAAAGCCTTCGCCCCAGCCTCTGATATAGAGACCATGGGTTGGGGTGAGATCGGGCTTTTACGTGCCCCAGCAGGGGGTGGATGTAGTGATATTTCATTTGTATTTTAATAAATAAAGCTTTCGTGAAGTCCAGAGAGCAAAACAGCCAGCCACTGGCTCTTACCTCTACCTCAAGTCAAAATGGCGATCCTGCCTCCAGGAATCTCAGAGTGAGGCTATGTTTGAGAGCTGTTTCCTTCTGTTTTATAATCCTCTCTAGTTCTGGGATTGAAGTTTCTATGACAAATTAGTGTGGCTACTGAGATTAAAGGTGTGTATCACTACTGCCTGGTCTGTAAGGCTGATCAGTGCAGCTGTTTTATTCTCTGAACTTTAGGCAAGCTTTATTTATTAAAATACAAATGAAATATCACCACAGGAGGAGGGCTGTGTGGTCGAGGCAGAACTGCCAGAGGTACCCTTAGATTTTAGTTTTAGTTTTGTATTTTAAAGTTTGTTGTTCAAAATAGAATCTCATGTAGCCAGGCATGACCTTGAACTTGTGATGCTCCTGCCTCTGCCTCCAAAGAGCTGGAATTGTAGCTTCTCCAGAGCTGAAGTTGCACCCAGGGCTTCATGCTCTGCCCCCTCAGTTTTCTGTTCTTTTTCCTTTTCTACTTATAACGCAGATTGGGTTCTTCCCTCTTTGCTCACTTCTCTATGCAGATGTCAGGGTGACACGTAGGTGGGAGTCTTGCATTTAGTTTCTTTGAGCATCCTCAAGTCACATAGATGGCCAGTCACTCCAGAGCAGGAGAAAGCATGGGACGCCGGGTGTACGTTGTTCCGTTTCATTGTCCGTGTTCTAAGTACCGAAATCATGTGGGCACACCCTCTGCCCGGTCAACAAAGGCCAGCACAGGGGCCGGGCGGACAGCATCTCAGGCTCTCCCGAGTTAGGAAACATTCTCTTATCAGCGCTTTATTTCACAGGACCTCAGCAGTGTGGTACTCTGTCGGTTGGTATAAAATACACCCCCATTTCAAAACCAAGGGGGACTGGGGTGTCACTCAGCGGTAGAGCATATGCTCCCCAGCACCCCAGAGCCAAACGGCCTTCATTCCCCAGCTCTCAGTACCAACTACACAGCACAGCAGAACCACAAAACCTAGATCTCCGTTACACATTTGTTCCACTTTCAAAAATGAGAAGTTAACTGGCTTGCTCCACCAAGAAGCAAAGTCATTTCCACTCAGTGGCCGTCCTCAACATGGTGACGAAGGCTCACATGTGACTTGGTTGCTGGAGCTTCTAGATCCCATCTCATTTCGTCCCCCACTCATGAAGATTTCCCCCAGGGTCCTCGCCAGGTGTCTGCACTGTGAGTCCCAGATGTGTTGGCATGGATACGGTCAACGGACCCTCCTAAGTGAGCCTGGCGACTTGGGGCTCAACAGTCAGATGAAGAAATGTAGCTTCACTTCGTCGTCAAGTGACTGATGGCTCCTGCCCCCTTTCAGTGAGCAGAGAGAGAAGGATGAAACGGAAAAGCCCTGGGAGGTTTGTGACGGGGTCCACTTGAGATGACCGCGACTACGCCGCCTCAGAAACCTCTTGATAGCCCCGCAGACAGGCGCGGGTGATCTCCACAGGGCCTTCTGCACGGCACGCGTTGCCTTAGGATTTCTTCTGCCATGTGCTTACTGACACCCCTCCTCCCCACACCCATCTGTACTCACCCCACCCCCAGCTTCGCCAGCTTTATCCCCATCCCTATCACTCACGTCCCGAACGACATCCAGCGTTAGACTATAAAGGAGGAAAGGGGGACTCCTGGGGGACAGCTAAAAGCAAACAAGGAAAGAGGATGGCTAGGAGACAAAGGCAGTATCGGTGTGCCACTCCAGGGCCTGGAAAGCACAGCGTTGGTACAACACATGTCTGCCTTCAATGATGCTATGAGAAGGGCAGGTGAGAAGGCCTTTTCGGGGGTACTCTCAGGGAGCAGGTTCTAAAAATGGAGAAAACTCTTCTCAGGTCCCTTGGCTATGAGCACAGAGCGGGGAAGTCCTGGGTGCACAGTGTGTCTGAGGCCGAAAGGAGAAAAGCTGTAAGCCCTGGGGAGCTTAGCCCCTGCGGTGCCCACAGCTGGACTCACTTCCTGAGTATCTCGCATCCTCCACCACTGGTGCTAGGCCCTATTGCTGTGAAAAATGTCACCGACATTCCCAAAGCACAGGCCAGTGTTCCTTAGAGAAGACTAGAGTTTGTTGAGGTACCTAGAGGCCAAGTCGTGGTTTATGGGCTCCCCCATGCCCGTTGGGTTCAAAGCCTGTTGCTCAATGGCTGTGGGAGAAAAACAAGACAACACTCGAACACTTTGGTATTGAGGGCATGCACCACCACAACCAGCTGCTCACATTTTCAAAATGAAAAACAAACAAGCAAGCAAAAGGAATCCCTCGTGCATCGTCAGAATGTAGGCGGAACAACAGGACCCGTTCCCCAGGGAAAGACATTCTCGCCCATTCGTCTGCAAAGTGTGGACAGGAAAGATCCACAGGTCAAAATAGATGACAGGAGTGGGTGGGTGGGTGGGCCCTGTGTCTGTGGGCGTGGGGTTTATCCTAGTGCGTGGCACACACTAAGCCTTCCTTCAGCCTGTTTATTGTTATTTATTGGAGGGGTGGGTGCTGTTCATGAGGTTACGTCTGGCTAGGACAGGGGGAGAGCTATGGGAGGTTGTTATGGGAGCCTCTCAAAGCGTAGGCCTGCAGATTAAAGATGCAAAAAGCAGAGAGAGAGGGGGGGAGGGAGGGAAGCATTTGTAGAAGGGTCGCCTCCAGCGTTGACTCCATGTTCAATACACTCCCAGCTTGAGCTTCATTGAGGTCTAACCAATACTCCATGTCACGCTGAACGGGAAAGTCAAGTCCAGTGGACCACGTTCACCACCGAACACATCTAGGATGTGGTTAAAACTCACGGGAACCGTGACATGTCGGCCTGTCTCCACGTCATTCTCCATCTTGTTCATGTTCAGGCACCGAGGATGAGTTAGAGCACTCAGGATACAGCACCACAGAAGAAGACAAGACGGATGAAGTGACAACCAGCGCTTTGACTCTGGTGAGCACGGAAGTGTTAACTGCAGATACGAATTCTACACACACTGATGAGCCCCCAGACCCGCAGGAGTTCGTGCTAATGGTGGCGGTCCCCCTGGCGGCGCTGGTCATTCTTTTATCTGTGGTTCTCCTTGCTGTCTACCTTAAAAGCAGGAGACACAAGCAAGGTAGGTAACTCCTGCATTTCCGTTTTGGGATGACGACTTGACACCTCAACGAGCTGCCAGAAACAATCCGCTTTCTCCTTTTACGCAGAGCCTTCTAGCCAAGGATCTCAGAGTGTCTTGCAGACATGTGAGTATCTGCTTGGTGCCGGCGGGGGGGGGGGGGGGGGG